GTTCCGCCACCGGAGCTAGAACCTAATATGACCTACAAATATCAATTTTTAGAAAAATCCGTGAAAAAAAAATGTTGCGAAAATCATTAAAATATCGAATATTGTGAGGTACCGTTATATGGGGGCTATACCAAAACTAGGAGCTATATATACTACGTTCCGCTACCGGAGCTTAAACCTTGGACTGGTATATCTCATTTTCAATATCAACCATCGAAGACACAATACAAATTGTTCTGCCAAATGTGGGCTGTATCTTCATTTTAACAGACAGGCAGACGGACATTGTTAAATCGACTTAGAATTTAATGCTGATTATGAATATATACACTTTTTGGGGTCTACGACGAATATTTAGGGATGGAGGGTATAAATATCAGAAGATGAATAGTTTGTCGACGCACATATATACATATTTGTTTGTCAACAACTCTGCAAGCAAAAAATATTCCGGAAATTACTTAGAGGACACACTAAAGCGATAGAAATCATCGCGGTTGATATCACTTTTTCACCGCGGTAGTTGCATCCTTCGGGAAGAAATAAACCCCGCCTGTGATAGTTTTAAGCGTGACTAAATATTATATACAGCATTATTCCTAATAAGCATGGAAGTCACCTTCTCCAAAGTTATTGAAATTAAAAAAATCATTTTTTTACTCCAGACTTAAGAATTATATATTATACCCTACAACACTATGTGTTGGGGGTATTATAAGTTTGATTGGGCCAAGAATATGTCCGCCCATCTGTCCATGTTAATTTGCAATCACGCTGCATTTATGGCCTGATCCTCACAAAATTGAAAATTGCTTTTGGAGATGATCGCAAAATATTTGGGGGTTGAAAAGGAAAAAAACTGAAAATTTAGCTGATTTTGCAGTTGCTCTACAGATCTCAATTATAGACCAATCGACGTGGAAATTAGAATGGGGCTAGAACGTAAGGCTGGGCGAATCGGGTAATATTTAGTGCTATTTCACCCACTAAATATTACCCGATTCGCCCAGCCTTAACCATAACATTTACGTTAAATAAAAGTCTAATTTTCAATTAAACCGCGAATATTTTTAATCCCGGCGAAATCACAACTAGGCGAAAATATCAACTCTGGCCGTTAGTAGATGCCGATAATAAATATATAGGAAGGGAAGGAAGGGGATATTAGCTAGAATGCTCAAAAAAGAATAAAATCTAGAAAATCGCAAAAAATGTCAATAATGAGGTTAATATAGATTTTGTAGTATTTTGTGATATATTTTTTATTGCATGCGATTTTTTTCAATTTGACTTACAATATTGAAGTGTATATTTTGTAATATTTTTTCACCTTACAATACAGGTTGGGGTTATTATATAGAGATTTCAATTATTGTCCGATCCTCACGAACATTTTCATGAGGGTAAGGTTAGGTTCAGAAGGGCTAGGCCTATTATTTTTAAAGATGTCCGCAATATATTTAGGGGTTGAAATGGACCAACCATTAAAAATGTTCCTGATATTGCAGCAGTTACAAAGGTCACCAATAGAAACCAAAGGACACGAAATCTCCCATGAAGTTAAAGTTTAGGACAGCGAGTAGAAATTACCACTACGTTTGTGTGAAAAAATACCAACATTTCCATATAATATTTTTCTGATTTTAGGTTCAAATGAACCAAAATCAGAAAAAATTTCCTGTTCACACAATTGAAACAATTGAGAAGAGAGTTAAGGACAGGGAAGCATTTTGGATGACCATTGGATTATATTTAGCTGTAAAATGGACCACAACAACTAACAGCACGACACAGTGCGTAAATATTGGGCACATGTCCCTGGTCAAAAATCTAAGTGTAATATCTGGACAGTGTTCTATGACATAATTTCAAAAGCGAAATCTTAAAAAATGGATTTGGACATAAGGTTGCTTCTAACATATTGTTGTTACATGGTCGGCCCCGCACGACTATATCCTTTGCTTTTTTTAATTTTTAAATGTAAATGAAATTGTTTTGACAAAGAAAAACGACAAGTATTATTGACATCACTTGTAGTTGTAGTCTAGTCTTAATTCTCAACCTTATAATTGGGAAATGTCTACGCTGTTCACTCTTAAAAAATTCTACCAATTAATATTTATCTAATTTGTTGACCTTCTTGACATCTTCAATATTTATTTCAGGTGGGGTATTTCACATTCGCTTATTATCAGATATAACATTTTTGCAAAACACAACCAAACTGAGAATTATTGAAAATTCTTAATGAGATAAACTGAAAAATTATGGTACAATCAGCCGAATTCTAATAACAACTAGATTATGACTGGTTTTAGCCGATTTTGTTTTATTTGTCACTAGTTCCTATTCATTTTAAGACCTAATTTGGTTTTCTAGTAAATAAGGCAATGTTTGATTTATATTTTTATTTCATCACAGTTTCATTAATCCTGCAATAAAAAATACCATCCACACTTATCAAATAAATTAGCCAGTCAAATCTGTCGGTTACCTGAACTTTTTTAATATTTAGGTCAAATAATTTTAATAATCTAGTATTTTCGTTTCTATTAAAATAAAACAACAGCAATAATGTGTCACAACGCCAAATGTCTAGACATTTCAAACCTCTGGGAACAGATGGTGTTTAAAATAACTTCCGATTTCTGCGCTAATTTTGGAAAATTGCGATAAGATGTCTAGCTATCATTCGAGATAAGAAATGAAAATTTGGCAGTGACATTGATACAATGTTAGCGAATAAATTCTATTAAAAACGAACTTTGAAATTTTAAAAAAGAGATTATCTGCTATTGTTTGAATTTTTAATAAGCATACTTATGACAATATTTGTTGTTTTTTCTTGCACCTAAATGTTTGGTTTAAACTGATTGGCATATGGTTATAAAAATAAAACAAACTATAGAATCATGGCCACGTGCTTGTTGTGGTTTTGGTCTAATCATTCTGTGCCCACATAAATTAATGGCCATTGAACCCAATCCGCAAACATTGTTGCCCGTTAGTGTAAACATAAATTTTAGAGGGATATTTAAAATAGGCAATTTTAATTGTTATTAAAAATACACAGCTGCCAAAAAATAATAGCAAGCCCAAGTCATGACAAAAATCAAAATCCTAAATACAATAAATTTTAACTTTATTGCTGCAAATCTTCTCTTAACACATCAAATTTTTTTATTCCAACAATATTTTTTACCATTAAACCCGCATTTGGCAGCCCAAAGCAGAGAATTTTGAATTGATTTTTTGGGATTTTGTAGAAAATTGAAGTACACATTACAGTATAGACTTTTCATATATTAAATTATACCAAAAGTTAGTGTTTTATCTATCACCGGTCCACGTTGCCGGCCCGTAATCTTTGTATTTTATGTATATTTTTATGGCATCATAATTCCCAGATCACAATTTTTATCATATATAATGACTCGACTTAATAGAAATCAATGTCTAAAATGTCAATACATGATCACTTATCGGTCGACCTAAAGTGTTTTAAAAACCCTGATTCTATTTTCATCCATAAGCTTTTATTTGAGAGTCAGAAACCTAAATGATATAGCAAATCTATAAAAAGTGTATATCAACTGTTTATAATAGCCCCGTGTAAGAACTCAGCTCAATTTTTAGTATTGTAAAGAGCTTGGCATTATTTTCCATTCAAATTAGCTGTAATTTAGAATTTACAAAGATTAGAATATCGTACTGCATGGAATTTAGTTTTCCAACTTAAAAGTAGTCTAAATACACATTTCTAGGCAAATAGATTAGATAATGTGGTCAAGATCTTCGATATAGGATCAATTGAAAAATCTTGCAAAGACCCCGGATAGAGCTGAAATCAGGGCATTACTTATGAGGGTTATACCAAAAACTCAAATTGCCAAAATATGTCGAAAATAGTTAAAACAAGTTAGAAAATATCAGTCAGATGTATACCCTCAGCCAATGTTCGATTATTTAAACATATTCTGACCTTTGTTATGATCATTCAAATTGTTGACCCTCTATGGAGTAGGTTCCGAAGGAATGGACCAATATTGTCCATTTCGTATCGGATCTAAATAAATATTAGATAAATATAGCGACGTGCCAGGTTTGGACTATATCGACTGGTTACTTCACTTTATGAGCTTGATGGATATTCGAATTTTTGACCCTTTGTGGGGGAGGTACCAGAAGGAATGGACCGATATATCCCATCTTCACAGCAGATCTTTTGTTAGTAGAAATAATGGGATGTTTGAAATATGAAGAGAACAGGATGCTTATTTCAGATTTTATAATCGCGTTGGTTATTCAAAACTTTGACCCTTTGTGGGGGAGGTACCGATCTCTTCCATCTTTATAACAGATCTGGTGTTGATCGAAATATTGAGATGTGTGAGATATCGGATGTTGATTTCGTGTTTTATGAGCTTCATGGATATTTAAAAATTTGACTCTATGTGGGGGAGATACCAGAAGGAGTAAACCGATATATTCCATCTTCACACCAGACCTTGGGCTAAAAAGTATTGCGCTGTGGGTAATTTTAAGGCAATCGGACAAGATACATGACATTTTATAAGAGTCATAATTATTGAAAATTTTGACACTTTGTGGGGGAGGTACTTGATAGAATGGGCTGATATTGTCCATTTTCGCATCTGAACTGACGCAAACATTAGGATTTGCAAAGTTGGAGCAAAATCGGGTTGTCCTTTATTTTTCTGTGCAGTAAAACATTTTCTTTGAAAATGTTGACCTTTTGATTCAACTCTAGTGTTCCAAAATTTGACTAAACATTTTTACCTATTTTATGGCTCTAGGTGGCAGTTTGGTAAAGACTTGCTTCCTATGACATTTTCATGTTAAAATAAGGATTTAGGGTGTTATTTTGCAAGTTGCTATAACTGTCAAATTGTACTTACTAAATCTATTGTTTTGAAAATATTTTTTTTTCTTTTAGATTTTTATAGAAATTAATACTGAATCTTGGATATTTTACCCACCAAATGTATTTTCATTGGCTTACCTGTAATGAGAAAGAAGAAAAAATAAAAAATATTTATAGATTTTTAATACAACATAAATTACTATTTGTTGTAATTTTTAATCAATATAACAGTGTATCAATTGATTTATACTAAACTGTTACATAAATCCAGTTGCATTTCATAAAAAAATGAACTATAATTTGTTTTTTTTTTTCAAGTTATTTGAGGACACAATCCGGCAGGAATCTTCGAGTTTAATTAATTTTAATACCCTCCACCAAATCATGGTAGGTATATTAATTTTGTCACTTCTTTTGTAACTAATCGAAATAATCATTTAAGACCCAACAAAGTATATGGATTCTAATCTGATTTAGTCATGTTTGTCCATCAGTCAGCCCGTCTGTTGTAAGCACGCTATCTTCCGAAGAATTTAGAAGAATGCTGGAAATGCGTTTTGGGTCTGAACTTAGATCAAGTTTGAAGATGGGCTATATCGGTCAAGGTTGTTACGGGATTTTAATCCCCTTGCAAAGAACACTTTACTGGGTGAGATGCAAAAACTGCAACCAACTTCAGACTGCCAAAAAATGGCTCGTGAGCAGAACATATCACAATATACCATTCGGCAAATATTGAAAAATGAGCTCAGGGTAAAGCCATTGAAATTCCAAAAAGTGCAGAAACTTACACTCCAACCGCAAGAAAATAGACTCAAAAGAGCTAAAGAGATGCTTCGATTGGCTGAAAGTGGTGAACTGCCGAATTTGGTTTTCTCCGATGAGAATACATTCGTTGTAGCAGTTTGTAACCAAAAAAATTATCGTGTTTACTTGTCAAAGAGGTCAGCTGAAAATGTGCACCTTCGGTTGACCACCAGAACTCAAGCGCCAGCCATGGTGATGGCGTGGACCGCCATAATAGCCGATGGTCTCCGCTCGTATTGATCAACCGTGGGATCAGAATAAATGCCGAATATTATGGCGAAAATATTCTGGAGGGTGTATTAAAGCCTTGGACACGCAAACATTTTGGCTGCACACCCTGGACATTCCAACAGGACTCAGCACCATCGCACTCAGCACGCGCCACCCAAGAATGGTTACAAAATGAGGTTCCTCGCTTCATTTCCAGCGCACAATGGCCACCAAAATCTCCGGGTTGGCACTAAAAAATACCAAAGTGTCGATCACCTCAAACAAGCGCTTTTCCGGGAATGGGCCAAAATACCGCTGAACAACATTCGGGCAGCGTGTTGGCCGAAATATTGGCCGTTTGAAGGCCATAATTCGTGACCAATTCGAACAAATCTAAACTTATTCTAAAATTTGATGCTATATCCGACACTATTTTGCTTTCAAATTAAAAAAAAAAATTAAAAATTATGGCGTTTGACTTTGTTGCAGTTTTTTATCTCAGCCTGTATATACGTTAATATTGTGGTATAGCCCCCATATGAGGGCACCCTCAAAGACTTAAAATGGTAAAGACTAGACAAAATGCATTTTGAGCAAATGGTTTGTGTCTACAATACATAGAGTAACAGCAAAGACCTAAAATGGTAAAGACTAGACAAAATGCATTCTGAGCAAATGGTTTGTGGCTATACTACCTTGAATAACAGTTCATGACAAAGGCATGTTAATATAAAAAACACAATTATAGGAAAGAATGACAAAAAAAAGTTTGGATAAGCCAAAATATTAGTTTCAAAATTCTATTCCATATACCTTCCCAAACAATTGCATACTGCCTTAGCGGTTTAAATTGCTTAACATTGGTAACTATGTTGTTACGATATCATAACAACAGAGGTATTTTTCACAGGGTTGCCATATTTTACTCTGCCTTGTCCTATCTTTATACTTCTATGTCTTTGGTAACAGCTCATGGCAGAGACATGTTTATTTAAAAAAAACTACAATTACAGAAACGTATAACCAATAAAAATTTGAAAAATCCAACATTTGGTTTCAAAATTCTATCAAAGACCTAAAATGGTAAAGACTAGACAAAATGCATTTTGAGCAAATGGTTTGTGTCTACAATACATAGAGTAACAGCATATGGCAGAGACGTGTTAATATAAAAACCACAATTGCAAAAACCAATAACAAATAAAATTTTGAAAAATTCGAAATTCTGGTTTCAAAATTCTGTTCCAAATACCTTTCCAAAAATTTGCATATTGCCTTAGCGGTTTAAATCAGTTAACATTGGTAACTATGTTGTTATGATATCGTAACAACAGAGGTATTTTCACAGGGTTACCATATCTTGACTCTGTCTTGTCCTATCTTTTGATTCTATTCCATAGACCTTTCCGAAAATTTGTTTAAATCAGCTAACATTGGTAACTATGTTGTTATGATATCATAACAACAGTTGTATTTTCACAGGGTTGCCATATTGTTTCCCTATCTTGTCCCATCTTTACACTTTTATGTCTTTGAACATTCTTTGAGAGAAGTATGGAATGTTGCTTATAAAGGCTTAGGAAAAGTCATGCAAGTATAAAGATAGGACAAAGCTGTGTCAATACATGGAAACTCTGTTTCAATGACATCAAAACAACATAGTTACCAATATTAACTGATTTAAACCGCTAAGGAAATATGTACATTTTTGGAAAGGAATATAATTTTTAAACCACATTTTTTAATTTTTCAAACTTTTGTTTGTCATTCGTTTCCGTAATTGTGGTTTTTATATTAACATGCCTCTGGCATGAGCTGTTACTCTATGCATTGTAGACCCAAACTATTCGCTTAAAATGCATTTTGTCTTGTCTTTACCATTTAAGGTCTTTGAACATAGTTACCAATGTTAAACAATTTAAACCACTAAAGCAATATGCAATTAATTGGGAAAGTTTGTGGAATTGAATTTTGAAATCAATTTTTTGGGATTATTCAAACTTTTATTTTTCATTCTGTTTTATAAATGTGTTTTTTATATTAACATGTATCTGTCATGGGCTGTTATTGCAAAGACCTAAAATGGTAAAGACTAGACAAAATGCATTTTGAGCAAAGGGTTTGTGTCTACAATACATAGAGTAACAGCTCATGGCAGAGACATGTTAATATAAAAAACACAATTACAGAAACAGATAACAAATAAAAATTTGATAAATCCAACATTTTGGTTTGAAAATTCTTTTCCATGGACCATTCCGAAAATTTGCACATTGCCTTAGCGGTTTAAACCAGTTAACATTGGTAACTATGTTGTTATGATATCGTAACAACAGAGTTATTTTCACAGGGTTACCATATTGTTTCCCTGTCTTGTCCTATCTTTACACTTCTATGTCTTTGGTTATTGTAGATAGTATAGACATAAACCATTTGCTCAGAATGCATTTTGTCTAGTATTTACCATTTTAGGTCTTTGAAATTTGTAGTGATAAAATAAATTTGTAATTAAAATATATCTGTAAAGATTCAGTAATTTTCGCAAGAAATATCGTGAGGAAATTGCAATGCCGAAATGGTTTTATAAGATACAACTGCCTTTTTGTTTTATTGCCTTACAAAATACCGCTATTATATTATTGACGCCTGCACATTTTAATTTAAATCCAATAAACTATAAAGCATTAATGTTTTTCCTTTATTCTCTCAAACATATATATTTTTTCTTTTTGTAAATCTTCTATTCTCTGTGAGTTTAGGGAGATTGCGCTGTTTGCACAAAGTTTGCTCAGTTGTTTGTCGCACGTCCAACAACTTTAGAATGTTTTGCAATAGCAAGAATGTAAACGGTCATTGAACCCATCAATAATGACGATTGTATAAATGAGTATCTATTCTATAGAACTGTGATGATATCTTTTTAATAATTATTCTATTTTAATTCAGGCACTTTGAGTTTTGTAACAATAATTTGTTTCTAATAAATGACGGTTGTGATGGTAAAAAATCAGAAATATATGTACATATTTTTTTTTGAGGTAATCGAACTTAATACGTATTAGTCTCACGTTTTAGTTCGGAAGCACGAGCACACACACAAATGTGTACATATGTAGACGAATAACAATACAAATAATTGCCCAATTTAAACTGGGTAACCTTGAAGTTATTGCAACAAACCGCACAAGTTCACCAAAAATTTTGCAGACAGTTAAGTCACACCAAAAATAGTTGGCCATATTTGGCATATCATCATTTTAGAAAGACCGATTCAGCAGTTGATGAACATGTAGGTTATGTAATAAAACATTTTAATTAAATTACGGGCACGCTAAGAAAAATTTGAAAGACCAAATTTCAAAAATTAAAAATATTAAAAAACCGTAAAAAAATAAAAACAAATAATCCGTAGGGAATATCCAATTTGGTTAAAACTTCGCACATTGTAATATTTACATCAAGCAAGGGTCAAAATTTTGAAAAATCACACAACTTACAAAATGCGAAATGATTTACAAACTCCGTTGAAACTGTGCATATTCAACAACTTCTTTCAGACCTATATTCTAGTGAAGATGTCCACTCCTTATGGTACCTTTCGCGCAAAAGATCATAATTTTGATGAAAAGGAAAGACCATCAATTTTAAATATAGTGGGCAATATTCATTAAGTTATCGACACGGTTTCATATAACAATTGGTATTTATAGAGATAGCTCCGATGGCAGAGCATTGTTTAGGTATATCCACGCTTTCCTGTAGCCCCTATATATCGATAACTCCCGATATTCGTTCCTTTGATGGCTTCAGCCACATTTTTCAAAAAAATTGGTATTCATAATAGGTCGTACAACCGGTGTCAGAACAATGGTTTACAGTTTTGGTCCACGGTTCAAGTAAAACCCTATCCACCTATATTCGATATTTTGATGGTCCTAGTCACATTTTTTTACATAATTGTTTCAAATTTGGAATTGAAAAATGTAACTGCATTCTCTCACCGATCACACTGGTATTCCAGTTTAAAGTGGAGCACGTTTAAATCCAGATACTTTTATTTAAAAATGTTTTCTTTACCAAATGATGGAGGGTATTTAAAGTTTAGTCAGGCCGAACTTAAT